AGCTACAATGAAAGAGATAAAGCACATTAGACATTTCATAGTGCATGTGTAATTAAAAAAAATAACCTAATGTCACATAACATACATGTTGAAAGGCTCCCTAGTTTTTTTCACAACTTGTTGCACTACATGTGAGGCTAAGCACACGTACAGCAAAGTTTTGCAAATTAGGGGTTGAAGATCCATATGATATCCACCACTCAACTGTAGGAAACAATGTTTGAAAAAAATGTTAATCTAACTTCATAATTATAAATCTATAATATTAATATAATATAATTAACATTTAATCTAACCTGGTGCTTTTGTCTTCCTTTGCTTGATTGCCATTTTATTACTAAATAAAGCGTCTGCATTTTGATATGTAGCTAATTCAGTGATTATCTTGTCTTGGATACTAGAATCTGGAACCAATCTCTCGATGCAAACATTTAATCCAATCATAACTTCTTCACAAGAAGCGTTAATTTTGTTATCATAAAAGATTCCAGGATTTGAGTAATGTCCAACTGCATGCAAGGGTCGGTGAAGTTGACATTCCCACCTTTGATCAATAATCTGAAAAGCTTTCTTGTACTCCTCTTTTTTGTTGAGAAACGATTTCTGAATAGTCTCCTTGGCTCGATCCATTGCCTCATAAATGTAACCCATAGCTAGCTTTTTTTCCCCATCCACCATTCTAAGGACCTTAACAAGTGGTCTAGTCAACTTAAAAGAATATAGAATATTTCTCCAAAACAAGTCTGATACAAAATAGACTTTAATCTTGTTTGCTATTAGGTCATTAGCCTTAACCCACTTGCTTTTTTCCCACTCTTTTGACAAAACCATTTTTCTTAAATTATCTTTTTGCTTATGAAATTGCGACAAACTGATGAATGATGTTGCAAACCTATCAGATGTAACATTGGAATATTATATAAAATCATAACAGAATAATATATATAATTACATAAATTATAAGTTAAGTATTAAGAGTCACAAACCGAGTAATAGCAGGTCTATGCAAGTTTCTTTGCTTGGTAAAGTTCCTCATCATGTTTACAACAGGAACATGGTTATATATGTACCCATTTGCCAACATACATCTCTTCAAAGAACTTTTCACCTTAGGGATTTGCTTGCCAATGTCCTCTAACATAAGATCAATACAATGCGCCGCACATGGAGTCCAGTAGAGGTGTGGTCTTTTGGCTTCCAATAACTTTCCTAAAAATATGAAAACAAAGCCATAAAATGTTAAAATTTGATTAACATTAATTAAAAAATAAAGTGAATAAAATAAAACAAAGTACAAAGTTAGAAAAAATACATTATTACCTGCTTTAACATAAGCCGAGGCGTTATCTGTGATAACTTGTATAACATTTTCCTCTCCCACCTCCTCAACCATGTCATCAAGAATGCCAAACAACAGGTTTGCATCCTTTGAAACTTCGGATACATCCATGGATTTCATGAAGAAAAATCCATGTGGAGAATTCACCATAAAGTTGATTATATCTTTTTGCACGACTGAATCACGCCACCCATCAGACATGATCGAACAACCTTTTTGAGCCCACTCTGTCTTGTGTTCTTCCTTTTTTTTTTGTAACGGTGGCTACTTCTTTTCTCAGCAATGGAACCCTTAAGTCATACATGCTTGGTGGTCTCATACCAGGGCCAAACTAACCAATTGCTTCTATCATAATATAAAAACTATCATATGTTGCAGCATTGAAAGGAATGCCTACACAAGTACACAACAATAACATCATTAAACAAATTCTATAATCTATAAGAGTATAAGATTAAAAATCATAAACATATAACAAGTTTATCAAAAAAAAAAAATGTAACAGCTTCTGTGAAGGAATACATTACCTGCATCATAGAACCATTTTGCTATTTCTTGGCATGCTTTATCTCGTAGTTCTTTCCGACACCTCATTTATCGTTTGTTGTTTCCCTCCTTTTCTACCTTTAATTGTATCTTCGGGTTTTGGAGTGAAAAACATATCAATTGGCCCTTTCTATTTTGGTTTCTTTCTGGGAGGTAGTTTGCTACTAACTGTTATTTCAATACAATCTTCTTCATCTCCATAATAGTCATCATCAAGGTCCTGTATCCTTGATACCATGTGAATGTTGTCCCTTGCTTCTTGTTTCATTTTCATATAATCTATCATTTCTTTCCGAACATGATCAGGGCATTGTGGGCACTTAGTAGCATTCGGAAAACCTCCAACAAGGTGTTGTTTCATACAGCTTGCACCTCCCTTTGTTACTTTCAAACAAAAAGTGCATGTAAAATTGTTTCTAATGTTAGGGTCTTGCACACTATACTTTCTTACAGGATCTGTTTTGAAGTCGGATGAAGCATCAACTCCATTCTCAATATCCATGAATGATAGTAGAAAGAATAACAGAGAAGAAGAGAAGAGAAGGTTAACTACTAACTTAACTATCGATCAAGAATGAGGAGGGAAAAGGAGTTGAAGACTAATAGATAAAGAAAGAGAGAAGAACAAGATTGTTGTGTGAGACTGTGATCGTGTGATCAATTTGTCGTGCCTCTTTGTATTCTGGTACAGTGGTACGTAGATCTCTAGGGTAGAAGTAGAGCCAGCCAGAAATATTTAATAGTTGCATGGGCTTTTTTTTAACATTATTTAAATAAATAGGTCAGACCATGATGCGCCAATGCATAATGCGCTGGATGCGCTTGGAAGCAGACGCATTGCCTGGCAACATGTAGGTCGCATCGCCCCACAGGTTTGTTACCCATAACCCATCGCAACGCAATGCAACAGACACATCATCACATCAAGCACGCTTTTTTAAACCAAGACTGTTACTACAACCTGATTACAAAGGCTAACATTCAGCAAACCCAATATCAAATCCTTCCTGATTAGTAGTTGATTCCTTTGACAATAATAAAATGACAAAGAAATCCCAGCCAATTAAGCATGACAAGTACAACTTTGTAACTTACTAGGTTAAGGGAATAAAATAGTAAAAAGCAAAAAAGTAACGCAATTTTAAATATACAAGATTGAAGAATAAATCAAGTAACTTGATCATTAAACCCTTTGCAATCATAGTTTCACTCAAATCATAATAAAGTTGTGCAACAAGGAATAATGAGTTGTTGGACAAAGGAACCTAAAATAAAGAAAGAGGTAATTGTGAGTAAATGCTAGATGTATCAGTAATCACATAAAATATGTTGTATCAACCCAAGGATCATACATACACTGTTAATGAGATCAGAGGCAGCCTGCTTGACTTCATGTGTTGTTATATGATTAGGCTTATAAGAATCTGGGGAGGAAATAGTAGAAATGACGGACAAACCCTGTTGAAATCAACCTTCTAGTGCTCCATACAACAACTTATCCAAAAATCCAAAGACTTGGACAAGTTACAGTGATTTGAAAATGTCATGATGAATGCATCACTCAAAGGTGAACCACAAAGTGCATGACTAAGGCTTCTGGATTGCCAAAGCATATGGTCAAGCACTTTTGCAAAGGAATATTCTTCAAGGTAAAAAATCTAATCATTGACTCGTAAATGTCAGAATGATGCTCCATGTAGCCCTGTAATAAAGGAACATAACAAACAGTGAGGCACCATAACAATATGATAAGAACATGGTTAATAAGAATAGAGGTAGGCTAGCTTTTTATTAGAAATGACCCGATTCGAGAACCTTAAGTGATAGCATATCAACAATATAGTACAGCAAGGTAGGAATATTATGAGTCTGCTCAGAGTGCTCTTGGCTCAACCATAGCTTTAAATAGAAAAGCACTTTCTGCAGATGCATCTATGACAAAACCATCTATGGCATCCTCTGAGAGATCACTGGAAACCACATCTCTACTTGATGTAAACATTTTACAAAAGAGAAATACACGGTTCCATGCTGCTAGGTGACATTACATAATTTGAGTGACTTTGCAGCCTACAAAAGAAACTCATCATTATTGTTGATGATGCATGCATAATTATAATTATAATTTATACATCAAGGGTGTAGTATTAGTATGAAAAGGTATATTCTATACCTCTTTTATTCTATTGATTCTGTATAACTGTATACCAACATTGTGCAAATAGGGAAAGAGATATTTCATCCCATCAGCTGAAATAAGATGCATAAGAAAAGTAGTACTCTCCTGCAATGAGTAAAGGCAAACATAAGCTCAGCATATAACTAATAATCAAAAAGACAATCAACATAAAACATGATTTATAGCTGTCTTATGATGCTTCAGAAAAAATAAACCTCGACATTTTCCTTTGTAGCAAATGAGAGTATGAAAGCAGCTGCAGCTATAGTGAGTACACTTTTCATGTCGTCCTCTCTTTCCCTTTCATATGTACTGCATCTGTAAGTCAACACTTGTTTATTATCTAATAACATATTGAATTGATAATTTTTTGTTCTCTAAGATTAGCTCAGTGTCACTATATGTATGAAAAAAATTATGTTACAGACAGCATTTAAAGTTGAATTAAAAATCGTGATCATTCAACGCATATATATATATATATATATATATATATATATATATATATATATATATATATATATATATATATATATATATATAAAATCCATGGGTATAAGAATATATCCAATGAAAGCTTATCTATAGCTTTTTCCTATTTGAAATAAGCATTTGACAATTGCCTTTAAAAAAACAATAAACTGATGAATTTTCCAAAAGGCACGAAACTGAACAAGGAAAACTATTCTTGAAACCAGGGCCTCTTTAAAACTACATGAGAGTCCAAACCTGAAAAGTACTAAATATTACAGCTATACAAAGCTGGAAAAGACAGCCTAGAATCTACTTTAGAGCTATGAGAAAGCTGTCCAATACAGCTATATGTATATTCAAGACAGCTTTGTAAGGATTGTACATTAATTTATACTAACAATGAGCAAACACAACAAAAAATTTAACAAGTACCTTGCATTCATGAGCAAACACAAGTGTTGATCATCCAGCTATGAAAAAACTACATTGCAAACCATGGGCCCAAACTGCAAAAAGAAAACATATAAATATGTATAAGAAATGTTTCCATAAAACAAATTAAACTTCAACAGGAAATTGGTGAGATGGATGCTAAAACTTGCATCCCAACTACCCTTTCCATTTGATCATTCATGGTTGGTTTTGTAAACTATGACAATGTTAAAACACAAAAAATTTGGACCAGACTCCCATCAAAGCTTGCAAGTTCTCCAATCAGAAACAATGTACAATTACCCAGACAAATCGCAAGCAACTGGTGCAGCCTATCATATGTACACGCATCAACAAACCTGTCATGTTTACAACTCACCATTTCAGATAAAATTACTAGAGGTGATGACATAAATACTATGGAATATGGTTGATTTAAACAAAGAATTGTGTACTGGCCGTTAATTACACCCAGAAAACAATTACTTCAAGGTTACATCAATTCTTTGGTGTTGTTGAAAGTTGATTATTGTTGAATTCAGATAGGAGAGCGTGGAGGCGGAGAATCAATGCAGTGGATTATTATCAGAGTAATCTACCAAGTCAACACTAGCTTTTGTGCTCAATGAAATAGGGTATAGCGGTTCATATTGTTACTAAACAATAAAATGCAAGCAAGTTTGCATTTACCTCAACCACGGTTGGATTTCATTCACCATAGAAATTAGTTGCTTCGACCTTTTAAAACACAGTTGGCTTGCGTCGCAACTACATCCATGATCAGCACGGCAACGTCCTTGTCACCATTCCCTTTCCCTAATTCTGGAATAAACCCTCGATTTAGATTCCCACCTATTTCACCCGATATTTTCCCAATATACTCAAGCTCCGATAACACTTCATTCTGTGCATCTTCGTATCTGCCCCAGTCTTCATAACAATGTATCAACCGAATCAGATGGAACTGAACGGAAAGGGGTTTAGACGACAGTACCGACAAAACAGATTCCAAACAACTGAGGCAAATCGTGTACACTTCAAACAGTTCGAAGGCGTAACAATATTCGATTTTGGGGGTTTCATCCAGGCGTGTGGGGATAATATTTAGGGCTTTGTTAAGGAAGGAAGTGAACGTCTTGGCGAGCGACTGGATAGTAGCTGACGCTTCGGCATTGATTTTTGAAGATTTGGACTGCCTCTTGGGTTTATTGATGATGACGGTGAAGGGGTGGAGGTAGGAGGAGAAAAGGTAGTGGATGGAGGAGAGATCTGAAGACGACTGGAGCTTGGAGAGGATGGAAGATCCGGTGATGGTGGCTGAATCCTCCATAGCGGGTGTATGTGTGAGAGAGAAGGGGAGTGAGGAAGAATGAGGGGGAGTTAGAGAGGTGGACGCCAACAAAGAGTTCTGGTTTTTGAATTGAACGAAATCTTTATTCGCCCGCCAAATAAATTACATAATTACATAATCCTATCTATATATTGAACGAAATATTTAATGCTCAATCGCTCGTTCTATTATCTTTGTCACGATACCGTAAAATCAGTTGCATAATTACATCCTTTCCTTATAAATCGCAATAACTCAACATCTAAAATCATATATTTCCATGTTAACTGTTATCTTTTTCTTTTGTTTCTTTCCATTTATACTTGTAGACATAGCAAAAATTCGAGAGGGGGAAAATATAAAAATCGATTTAGTTGTTTGGCATACATGTTCTCATTTTAATCACCAAGTTGATTTTTTTGGTTGTTACCCATGTTTTATCAAGGCAAATTATCTTATTCGTTTTAACCTTTAATGTAACGTCTCGATATTTAACAAAAAAAATTCATTTTTAAAAATATAAAATATAATTCCAAAGCTCATTTTCATTAAAAGATCATTACCGTACATTTATTTAAACATAAAATAGTGTTTTAGCGGAAATCGAAAAACATTATTAAATCATCTAATGTGATTAAAGTCACGTTAGAGTCTTTTTAAGATCGAAAAAACAACCTAAAAAACAGTCATTCAATAGTTGTAAGTCTATGTTTGGTGAGTTTACCTAGGATATCATATACCACAATACATATTCATGCATACAAAACAATAGCTTGCGACCTTTCGTCGCTCTACCGATGTAACATCCCGACTCTCAGGTATAATATTTATATATTATATTTATGAGTAAACTGAGCAACTCGACTAGTGGATGCCCAGCTCATCGAGTAGATTCGATTGGACCACGTGGGTTTTACAACCAACTCGACGAGTCGCAGAGACCAACTCGGCGAGTTGACGCTGTGAGTGGAAACCCTCATCTTCCAGGTTTGTGTCCTATTTAAAGGGCCTTAAGCCCTCATTTTCGCCTCACCAGCCATTCAACTCCTTTGTGTGAAACCCTAATCGATCATATTGACTTGTGTGTGTGTGTGTGAGAGAGAGAGAGAGAGAGATTGAGAGGGCTAAATTAAGTAGTTTTGTACATCTTTGGAAGGATATTTGGAGAGCTTGGCGTGTTTAATCAAGGAAGCGTTGTAGATCCAGAGGTCTTCAGTGATTAGCTTTAGTGCAAAGGTAAAAAGCTTCCATTGTGACCTTCCTTTGTGAGATCTTAGTTTAGGGAGGTTTTTAGGGTTTTCCCATATTTGTCTTGAGACAATGAGTTGTTTAAACATATCATGGGGTTGAAACCTCAGATCTGGACTGTAGGAGGACTTGAGAGCCCAAAGATCTGAGCTTTATTGAGATAGAGACTAGCTTTTGTGCATCTAACCCTTGCCGGAGTTTGTATTGGCATTATGAGCCTCATATGTCGTGCATGAATGTAAAAGCTCGCAGCTTTACGTGACATTCGAGCCTTGGGGGGCTAGATCTGGAGTTTAGAGTTGTAGATCTACCTTAAAACGTCTGAATGAGAAAACAGTTTGAATGGACCCGCCGAGTCAATAAGATGACTCGACAAGTCGGCTAGGTTTTTCCCCGATGAGTTTGGACATGGGTAACTCGGCGAGTTAACGAGACAACTCGACGAGTTAAGTTGGGTTTTCGTGACATTTCTGAAGGAACAATGGGGACTCGATGAGTCGCATAGATGCACTCAGCGAGTCGGGTCAACATGTACTGTTAACTCGAGTGTTAACTTTTGTTGAGTTTAGGGTTTGGTCAAGACAAAATTATGGGGACCATGGAGGGGTAAAATGGTCTTTTGGTCATTCCAAGAGCTGAGAGAGAAAATAACTTAGTTTATTTAGAGTCGTGATTAAGTGTTAATTAGAGAAAATTATCCTATGTGTTAGGCGGAGGCTAGTTCGGAGATTCGTGTACGAGATTATTTGATTGCTTGCTTACGAGGTGAGTCTTCTCACTATACTTACCTAGTGCGGTAATATTTATGTGACCGGATGATCTTATGTGCTTATATTGAGTATTGTGATATCCTGCATTATGTATTTATGATTTATGTTGTGTATTATTCTGAGCTTACTGAGTTAGGACCGGAGGGTCCACTCGAGCTGTGGGACCGGAGGGTTCCACCGAGACACATTGACTGGAGGTTCTTATTCGAGTATAGTCATAAGAGGCTAATGAGATATGTGCGGTATTTTGGGGAACTCGCTAAGCTTCATGCTTACCATGTTATGTACCCAAACTCCCAACCTATGGTTGTTCCGTTTTCAAAACGAGTCAATAGGCTCATGTCTGCCACCATTCCATCGTCAACTCTTCACATAACCAAAATGAGTAAATAAAGTATATTGCATCCGAGAACATAGAGACTATACTTCGACTCTACTTGTAACATCCCGACTTCCAGGTATAATATTTAGTTAATTTACTTTCATAATTTTAGAGCAACTCGTCGAGTAGAGGAGTTATTGGTTGTGTGATTTTTAGAGTCTACTCGACGAGTTGGAGGACCCCAACTCGACGAGTAGTTGTTGAGTGAGAAAATCCTAATTTTCAGGGTTTGTGTCCTATTTAAAGGACCTTTTAAGCCTTCATATCCGCCTCTCTTGTCACCTTAGAACTCTGTGAGAAACCCTAAACAATATTCATTCGTTGTGGGAGAAAGAGAGAGGTTAAATTTGGTTATTCTTGTGCACTTTTGGAAGGAGATTAGAGAGCAACACGTCTTGGAATGATGATGGACTTTTGGATCCAGTGTTCTTCAGTGTTAGCTTCTGTTTGGAGGTAAAAAGCTACCATCTTGACCATCTCTTTTGTTGTATCTCTTTCTAAGGAGTTTTAGGGTTTTCTCCCATCCATCTTTTGGTTATCGAGTCACTTGAGCATTACATGATATTGAAACATTAGATTTGGTCTGTATGAGGTCCTTTGAGCCAAAAAATCCAAGCTTTATTAAGTTAGAGGCAAAATTTTATGCATTTAACCCTATATTGAGCTTATGTTGGCGTTCCGATCCCTAGATGCCATGCACGGGCGTAAAGCTCGCAACTTTACATGGTATTTCAGCCTTGGGAGGCTAGATCTAGAGTTTGAGACCTTATTTCTGCTTAAATCGTCTGAATGAAAAATTATCGAGGGGGACATGATGAGTGCATGAGCCAGCTTGACGAGTCAGCTAGGGTTTTCCCCTGATAAACTGGATGTGACAACCCGGAACCTTCTTATTGTACATTTAGCCAATTCAATAAATGTTAAACTTGTTTTGTTGACTTATTGTGCTATTTAAGGGTTCAATTAAGTGTTCTAAGCTTGGGTATAGTCAAGTTTGAGGTTAGACATGAGTCAGCAGGGCGTATTGTAGCAAAACCGGGCCATACACTCCTTTGAGAGGAGTGTACGGTCGTACACATGGGTGTGCGGTCGTACACCCACCTCCTGGCAGCACACCCACTCTTATATAAAAGGTAGACCCCTTTCCTTTCATCCCTTTCACTCCTTGGCCGCACACTACACCATTCTCTAAAGCTTCTTCAACCGTGAACCCTCCTAAGCTTCAAGAACGTGAGTAATTCATCCTCTAACTTGATATCCATGAAAGACCACTCTATGTAAGCCTTAAGTGTGCAATATTCGTCATGTTCTTCGTGTTTGGGAGTGAGTGCGGCCGCACACCCCCTTTAAGGTGGCCGCACACTCTTGAAACACCCTCCAAAGTGAGAGTTTGACTTCCATACTCGAGATAGACATGACCCTAGCCTTATTGCACCTTGGAATTGACATTTTAGACATCTTCATGTGGGGTGTACGACCGCACACACCTGTGTACGGGTGCACACACCCTTGTGCAGCAGCACACTCCCGTATGCGACCACACACACACCCTAGGACCCTAAACCCACTTCTAGGACCCTTAACTTGCACTAAATTCAAGTATATACATAGAACACTTCATGGATGCAAGTATGGAACTTGAAAACACCACAAAGTCACCTTTCATCATGAGTGTACGACCGCACACCCCTTGGGCCGCACACCCATGGTTGCACACACCTTTAAGGTGGCCATACACCTCCCTCATGAAATCCTTTAAGGTTCTAACACTTAGTGCAAGTAGTTCCAAGTCCCTATAGTGGTTCTCCATCACATCTAGTAGTGAAATACCCTCAGTTGACTCGTTTATGTGTCATTACGTGTTAATTAGGATCAAATTGTGTTCAAGACTTCACTTAAACATCTAGCTTTCTGTATCGATCCTTCAATCAAACCACTCAATGTAAGTTCATACCCCTACATTTTCCGTGTTTTTAATGTTTTCAGGGGGGATACAAGCCAAGCTCAAAGTATTTTATTAAGTTTTAAACTTATTAATACAATCTAACGATTTCCACGTTTAATAACATATTCGGATATTTTATCCCTTTTTGTAATATGTTGAGCATAAGGGAAACTTTTATTTTGGAAATCTAACTACATGGCTCTCATAAAGGTTTTTACAAAGCATTTTCTATATAATATCTAATAAACTATAGTAGGTATAGTTTGGGATAACCCTCTAAGCAGATTTTACCAAATCAGATTTCATGGGTGAATATGTATATACTATGGCAGGTTTAGTTTATGTTATATATTTTCTCATGAGTATAAAGTAGTATTATTCAAGGATAATCATTGTTTTATATTGTCTCTAGCTAGTAAGCTAGATTATACAGAATTGTGAGGCTCTACTTCAATATTGTACCCTTAGGTGTACATGGCTAAATCCTATCTCAGTATAACCATAGTCTCTTGGAGGGAGAGCGTGAGATTTATGAATAGATCTATTCCAGACTGACAATCTCACACCTAAACTGCTAGCTACAGTTAGGCAGGCATGCCTAAGGTGAACAAATGTCATTTAGCTTATACGCCTAAAGAACGTTATAAAGGTCTTT